TTTTGTTGTAAGCAGTTTGTTTATTAAATAATGAAGTATCCTTACTGAGAGGTAAGATAAAAAATTACCCACGAAGTCTAGTGCCCGCAACCCCACACACACCAACTTCTTTTCCTCGATTATTTACTGGGCTCCTCTCAGCCAGCTTTCTCATTCCCTATCTCCCACATGTTGAGAAAGAAACACGTGCACATACTTACATACGTGCATGTTTTTATGTAGTTTATAAATATTCTCATATATTTTTATGTATTATATATGTGAAATATGTAGAATGCATAAAAGTTTTATTTCAATCCTTTAAAAGATTTTTAAATGTTAAAAGAATATATATGTATTCTAGAAAGATTAGAAGTTACAAAAGAAAAAAATTCTTCTGAACACATTAGTAAGAGAAAACTGTTGGGGATTAAAAAAAATTCAATCTTCTCTGTTCCTAAAATTTTTTCTTACAGGGGACCAGCAGTTGTCATAATGGCTATGTTGCTGGACTCCCATGTAGTCAACTGTGCAACTGTGGTTAAGTCCTGGACCCGGTGGCTTAAACTCATGCCAGGCACGCGCGTGTGTGTGCCCAAGATCCCAAGAGGAGAATGGAGGAGAAGGGATTGCGGCGTGGCCATCCCCCCTGGGGGGTGATTTCTTGCTTTCTATCTCTCTGCCTCTCTCTCTGTCTTTCTGAAGAGCGCATGCACCCTATAGCAAAAACGTCTCAAAAAGTTATTTTTTCTTACATAATTGAGATATTATTATTATATAACCAAGTTTATATCCTTTCAAAACATATTATTATAGCATACACACTTTACATGTTACTTAAATTCTTCATACTGTAATTTTAGTGGCTATATGATAGTCCAGTATCTGGCATATAAGATAATCGATCGTTATTATTCCTAACGAGAACCAAGCATTGATGCCTGCTGCCTCAGTGATGAAGAACATTGCAAATCAGCAGCCAACGTCGTAGCTGTAAATACTGAGGCCACGGTGGTAAGAGATGGACTGAAATAAACAAAGGAGAATGTGCCTTATCTCCCATTGCTCTCCAACATTCTTTTGCAAGGTTCGGCTGACATGGCAACATGTAAAATGAAACCAAAGAGGCCGGCAGTGGCGTGGTGGGTAGGTGCTGGACTGCCACATGGCTGACTGCGGTTCGAGTCCCAGACCCGGTGGCTTGACAATCACACCGGGCGTGTGTGCGTGCATGCCCAAGATCCTGAGAGGAGGGAGGAGAAGGGACTGCATGTGGCCATCCTCCCTGGGGGGTGAGCTTTTACATTTTTTCTCTCTTTCTGGTAAGTGTACCCTGTAGGAAAAAAAAAAATCTCTCTAAAAAAATATAAAAAATAAAAGCAAAGCAGTTTAATGCAGTAGCTGGATATAAGATAATCTATGAAACTAACCATATAGAACAATCATAAGTTCGTTTTATAGAAAAAGTCCCGTTTTCTGTAGCAGTTAAAACACAAACTGCATGACATGTGCGGGTCTGTTTTAAGAAAACCGAGTGATGGTGTTAAGAGCCTGGACTCAGTTGTTAGCTTTGGGTTCGGTCTCACTTTTTAGGCAGCTTGGGAGTCCTGCCTGCAACTGCACTTAAAAGCTACCCTCGTTCAGTCAGTGCTGCTTAACACCTGCCGTGTGCTCAGCGCTATTCTGGGGGCCGTCTCAGCAGTGGGGGAGACCACGCTCTGCGGTCTTGGGGCCCTCCTCACGTTTACTGGGATCATGGCCCCGTCTAGTGCTGAGCTGCTGTGGACGTGAGTGGAGTGTGCGTGTTACCAGTGTAGCTCGCACTTAATGTTACTGAACAATTTAAAATGAAGCCACATTTTGTGATTTTAATAGTAATCAAACAAAAACATGTTTTTGCCTGGAAAGTCTGAATATTGCAGAGATTTTTCCAAACAGAGGTAGACATTTCACACAGTTTAGATCTTCTGTAAAGCTGTCTTGAGGCCAGACTCACCCCTGCTCTAACCAGAGACAGCGCTGTGGCCCTGGGCCTGTTCTCTAAGCCTCACGGCAGTGCTGCAGTGAGGCTTAGAGAACAGGCTCAGCGTCTCTAGGCCAGTTCCTAGCCCGCGGCCTGTGCGCCCTCACGTGCCAGGGCCTCCACCTCCGTCCGGCCCCATTTGCCTTCTCACACTTGGGTGCTGCTTAGCCAGGTCCTTCTCTGTGACAGGCCTTGTCTAGCTGTGCGGTTCTGGTGGGGGTGGAGCCCGGGCTCAAGCCATCCCCAGAGCGTCCCAGGTGTGCTCTGACTCCTGGTCTTGCGCAGGCCCGGCGGTCGGCAGCGCTGTGTCTGGCCTCACACCTCATGCACCTGTGCCCTTGCTCTCATCACGGAAGGGCTTGTGAAGGGGCTGGGAGAGGGAGGAGAAGGGACTGCATGTGGCCATCCTCCCTGGGGGGTGAGCTTTTACATTTTTTCTCTCTTTCTGGTAAGTGTACCCTGTAGGAAAAAAAAAAATCTCTCTAAAAAAATATAAAAAATAAAAGCAAAGCAGTTTAATGCAGTAGCTGGATATAAGATAATCTATGAAACTAACCATATAGAACAATCATAAGTTCGTTTTATAGAAAAAGTCCCGTTTTCTGTAGCAGTTAAAACACAAACTGCATGACATGTGCGGGTCTGTTTTAAGAAAACCGAGTGATGGTGTTAAGAGCCTGGACTCAGTTGTTAGCTTTGGGTTCGGTCTCACTTTTTAGGCAGCTTGGGAGTCCTGCCTGCAACTGCACTTAAAAGCTACCCTCGTTCAGTCAGTGCTGCTTAACACCTGCCGTGTGCTCAGCGCTATTCTGGGGGCCGTCTCAGCAGTGGGGGAGACCACGCTCTGCGGTCTTGGGGCCCTCCTCACGTTTACTGGGATCATGGCCCCGTCTAGTGCTGAGCTGCTGTGGACGTGAGTGGAGTGTGCGTGTTACCAGTGTAGCTCGCACTTAATGTTACTGAACAATTTAAAATGAAGCCACATTTTGTGATTTTAATAGTAATCAAACAAAAACATGTTTTTGCCTGGAAAGTCTGAATATTGCAGAGATTTTTCCAAACAGAGGTAGACATTTCACACAGTTTAGATCTTCTGTAAAGCTGTCTTGAGGCCAGACTCACCCCTGCTCTAACCAGAGACAGCGCTGTGGCCCTGGGCCTGTTCTCTAAGCCTCACGGCAGTGCTGCAGTGAGGCTTAGAGAACAGGCTCAGCGTCTCTAGGCCAGTTCCTAGCCCGCGGCCTGTGCGCCCTCACGTGCCAGGGCCTCCACCTCCGTCCGGCCCCATTTGCCTTCTCACACTTGGGTGCTGCTTAGCCAGGTCCTTCTCTGTGACAGGCCTTGTCTAGCTGTGCGGTTCTGGTGGGGGTGGAGCCCGGGCTCAAGCCATCCCCAGAGCGTCCCAGGTGTGCTCTGACTCCTGGTCTTGCGCAGGCCCGGCGGTCGGCAGCGCTGTGTCTGGCCTCACACCTCATGCACCTGTGCCCTTGCTCTCATCACGGAAGGGCTTGTGAAGGGGCTGGGAGCTCGCCCAAGGAGAGCCTGAACTCCATGTCCAAGAGCAGGCAGCAGGGC